CTGAATAGAAAGCGAAAAGTTGAGAAAGGAAGCCAGCCGGCAGCAAGCTCTTCAGCGGAAACGTCGTCAGTACCAAATCAGAATCCTGAAGAGAAATTGGGGGCGAAAATGACAAGTGCGGAAGAAGAGAAGAGAAAAGTATGTTGATGAGGAAACCGTTTGGAGCTGAATACATACATACCTCTGAAAAGGACAAGATAATAAATTTAGGCCACGGAGTTGATTCTCCGAGAAGCGAAAATGGCTAAAGAACGAGCGGAGCAGGTTGGACCTCAGGGCTGGTGAGTATCCTTGATAGTATCGCAACCCACTCCTTCCACTTAGTCGATCTTTAGTGAGTGATTCGATGTTGTTGTCGGCTAACCGGAGACCGGCTTCTGTCAGTAGGGTTGAAAAATACGTACTGACAGGCTGAATGGGGCCCTCAGTTGCGCTACTGATTTCGACTGAGAGTGCCATTTCGCTTGATGTTTTATTTTGAGTGGTCCTCTTTCCATGGCGACCATAGGCGTTCGGTTAATATTGCACTTTTCCACCTTCGGAGGTTCCTGTGATAGCACATAGCACTCCGTTTGTTGAAATATCAAGTTTGCAGTTTATCCCCATCACTTGAAATTGTTTAGGTTACGACCGAAGAGCCTCAACACGAACAAACAATTTCTTCATCGTACGTTAGCGGCTACTCTACCCGAAAGGAAACCGAAAAAGCGGAAAACTCCTGATGAATAATTATGAATGATATTTTAGACTCTTATTTCGATCTCCTATTTCCTGCTCATTTTTCAGCTGTGATCCTTCTGCAATTTGCTCTCGAAAACATATTTTTTGTTAACTCATTTGTCAGGAACGAGTAACTATGCTCTTTGAGGGCACAGATGTTTTGGTTCATTGTACTGACCCGACTAAATGGTAGATCATCATTTTTTCACCGGTTTTTGTTAGAGAGTTATGGCTGAGTTGTTTTGTTCAGTAGTTTTCGAACGGTCCATCAATTTCCAACAGACATTGAGAGAAACACAGAAAGTAAGACATAACAGACAAAAGAACTGATCTTGCTCCAGTGGACGTGGCTACACTTTCGAGCAAAAAATGTCTCAGTTTTCGAGAGAATTTCTTTTCACAAACAAGGTTTCTTTAATTCTCCATGAAGAATGACCTCGGAAGATCTTCAACACATCCCAAACAATATCCATTGAAAGAATCAATTTGAAGGAAGACTGAAATTCCGGAATTGAAATGTTTCTTCAAAATGCGGAGTTTAACTTGACCAAAAAGCAAAGATGAACATCCAGAGCTCTTCTTTGTTCCATAACCCTACAGGATTCCAGAAAAAATTGTTAACCGTATTGGAGCTTTGACTCAATTTTTGCGCAATATGACTGCTTGACGATTCCTGTTTTTTGCTACAGTTTACCTTTTTCAAAGTAACTTCCGTATAGCAT